ACTTTGGGAGGCCAAGGCAAGTGGATAACTTGAGGCCAAAAGTTCGAGACCAGCCTGGCCAACATGGGGAAATCCTGTCACTACTAAAAATACAAAATTAGCCGGCTGTGGTGGCATGCGCCTATAATTCCAGCTACTTGGGAGCATAAGGCAGGAGACTCACTGGAGCTTGGGAGGCAGAGGTTGCAGTGAGCCGAGATTCACCACTGCACTCCAACCTGGGTGAAACAGTGAGAGTCTGTCTCAAAAAAATAAATAAATACTTTTTTTTAAAAAAAAATGAGAGCTATATTAATAAAAGCAGAAACTTCAAATTGATAATCAGTTAATTCCAATAATGGTTTGCTTTTTCCCTTCAATTCATTAAATTAAAATAAAGTTTTGCAAGTTTATTCTGTCAAAGGCAAGACATCTGACAGCATTGGTAGTGGTATTGGGAATTTGTGAATTCTGCAAAACATATTCAAAACTAAAGTTATTGGTTCCTGTGCTGAAATTTTAAATAAGTTAAGTATGTGGCATTTTGTTAAGTATGTGGCATAATACATTGTTTTGATCAAATATAGAAAAATGTGGAGCAGAAAATATAGGAAATGTATTGTAGTTCACACATAGTTCATATTTTGTTACAAATTGGTCATGATATTCACACAACTAAAATAAAAACTGTAATTGCAAAATTCACAAATAATTTTAAATACTCACAGAGTAACAGAACTAATTTGTTGTGACAAAACTACTATTGAAAAAAGTGTAACATGCCATAATGTGCTCTTTTCTTGCTTCTTTTCATCAATATTCAAATTTTAGAAATGTTTAAGTCTCCAAAGAATGACTTTGAAAATGAATCTAAGGGTGCACAGAAGCTTTGACATTTTAGTAACAGAATGCTCTACATTTAGCTGCATCTTGCTCAAGTCAGTTTCAAAAATTTAATTAAACCGTTAAAATAATTTAAGTACCAAAGAAATCAGTTTTTGAACATTACAGTAAGTTGCACTTTTTAAATAAAACACTGAAGTTTATTTCTCCATGATTCAAGAAAGACACTTAGCAAATTTAATAAGATTTCAAAAGTATACAAGATTTTAAATATTGTAACAGTGCTTTGGAATAGGTGAATTTGTGGGAAGCATTTGAGGAGGGCTCCTAAATTTCAAGGATAAACTTACATACTAGAGCATAATGGAAATAAATTGAGAGGGTTGACAACTTTGCAGCATCTAAATTTAGACAAACATTCTAAAGAATAATAAATAGAAAGCATTTACTTCATGATTATCTTGGAAAATGTTATCTAACAAACTGATTTTGAATAAGTAAAATACAGAACTCCTATAAAAATATTTCATCCTTGAGGAGGTCCTTCATATACCTTGTAAGTTGGATTCATAGATATTTTATTCTCTTAGTAGCAAATGTGAATGAGAGTTCACTCATGATTTGTCTATCTGTTTGTCTGTTATTGGTGTATAGGAATGCTCGTGATTTTTGCAAACTGATTTTGTTTCCTGAGACTTTGCTGAAGTTGCTTGTCAGCTTAGGAGATTTTGGGCTGAGTCGATGGAGTTTTCTAAATATACAATCATGTCATCTGCAAACTGAGACAATTTGACTTCCTTTATTCCTGTTTGAATATCCTTTATATCTTTTTCTTGCCTGACTGCCCTGGCCAGGACTTCCAACACTATGTTGAACAGGAGTGGTGAGAGAGGACATCCCTGTCTTGTGCCAGTTTTCAAAGGGAATGCTTCCAGTTTTTGCCCATTCAGTATGATATTGGCTGTGGGTTTGTCATAAATAGCTCTTATTTTTTGAGATATGTTCCATCGATACCCAGATTATTGAGAGTTTTTAGCATGAAAGGCTGTTGAATTTTGTCAAAGGTCTTTTCTGCATCTATTGAAATAATCATGTGTTTTTTGTCGTTGGTTCTGTTTATGTGATGGATTGTGTTTATTGATTTGCGTATGTTGAACCAGCCTTGCATCTTAGGTATGAAGCTGACTTGATTGTGGTAGATAAGCTTTCTGATGTTAGCTTTGCCAATATTTTATTGAAGATTTTCACATTAATGTTCATCAGGGATACTGACCTAAAATTCTCTTTTTTTGTTGTGTCTCTGTCAGACTTTGGTATCAGGATGATGCTGGCCTCATAAAATGAGTTAGGGAGGACTCCCTCTTTTTCTATTGATTGGAATAATTTCAGAAGGAGTGGTACCAGCTCCTCTTTGTATCTCTGGTAGAATTCGGCTGTGAATCCATTGGGTCCTGGACTTTTTTTGGTTGGTAGACTGTTAATTATTGCCTCAACTTCAGAACCTGCTATTGGTCTATTCAGAGATTCAACTTCTTCCTGGTTTAGTCTTGGGAGAGTGCATGTGTCCAGGAATTTATCCATTTCTTCTATATTTTCCAGTTTATTTGCATGGAGATGTTTATAGTATTCTCTGATAGTAGTTTGCATTTCTGTGAGATTGGTAGTGACATCCCCTTTATCCTGTTTTATTTCATCTATTTAATTCTTCTCTCTTTTCTTCTTTAGTAGTCTGGTTAGCGGTCTATCAATTTTCTTGATCTTTTCAAAAAAACAGCTCCTGCATTCATTGATTTTTTGAAGGGTTTTTTGTGTCTCTATCTCCTTCAGTTCTGCTCTGATTTTAGTTATTTCTTGTCTTCTGCTAGCTTTTGAACGTGTTTGCTCTTGCTTCTCTAGGTCTTTTAATTGTGATGTTAGGGTGTCGATTTTAGATCTTTCCTGCTTTCTCTTGTGGCCATTCACTGCTATAAATTTCCCTCTATACACTGCTTTAAATGTGTCCCAGCGATGCTGGTATGCTGTGTCTTTGTTCTTACTGGTTTCAAAGGACATCTTTATTTCTGCCTTCATTTTGTGAAGGAACTCTTCAAGGAGAACTATAAACCACTGCTCAATGAAATAATAGAGGACACAAACAAATGGAAAAACATTCCATGCTCATGAATAGGAAGAATCAATATCGTGAAAATGGCCTTACTCCCCAAAGTATAGATTCAGTGTTATCCCCATCAAGCTACCACTGACTTTCTTCACAGAATTAGAAAAATCTACTATAAACTTCATATGGAACCAAAAAAGAGCCCACATAGCCAGGACAATCCTGGTCAAGAAGAACAAAGCTGGAGGCATCAAGCTACCTAACTTCAAATTTTACTACAAGGCTCCAGTAACCAGAACAGCATGGCACTAGTACCAAGACAGATATATAGACCAATGGAACAGAACGGAGACCTCAGAAATAACACCGCACATCTATCACCATCTGATCTTCAACAAACCTGACACAAAAAAGCAATGAGGAAAAGATTCCCTATTTTATAAATGGTGTTGGGAAAACTGGCTAGCCATATGCTGAAAACTGAAACTGAACCCCATCCTCGCGGCTTACACAAAAATCAACTCAAGATGGATCAAAGACTTAAACATATGACCTAGGATAATAAAAATCCTAGAAGAAAACCTGAGCAAAAACCTAGAACAATACCATTCAGGCATAGGCACAGGCAAATACCTCATGTCTAAAACACCAAAAGCAATGGCAACAAAAGCCAAAATTGACAAATGGAATCTAACTAAACTAAAGAGCTTCTGCACAGCAAAAGAAATTGTCATCAGAGTGAACAGGCAACCTACAGAAAGGGAGAAAAATTTTGCAATCTATCCATCTGACAAAGGGCTAATATCCAAAACCTATAAATAACTTACAAATTTACAAGAAAAAAGCAAGCAACCCCATCAAGAAATGGGCAAAGGATATGAATAGACACTTCTCAAAAGAATACATTTATGCAGCCAACAGACATACGAAAACATGCTCATCATCACTGGTCATTAGATAAATGCAAATCAAAACCACAATGCGATACCATCTTATGCCATTTAGAATGGTGATCATTAAAAAGTCAGGAAACAACAGATGCTAGAGAGGTTGTGGAAAAGTAGGAATGCTTTTACACTGTTTGTGGGAGTGTAAATTAGTTCAACCATTGTGGAAGACAGTGTGGTGATTCCTCAAGGATGTAGAACTAGAAATACCATTTGACCCAGCAATCCCATTACTGAACATATACCCACAGGATTATAAATCATCCTACGATGAAGATACATGCACATGAATGTTTACTGCAGCACAGTTCATAATAGCAAAGACTTGGAACCAACCCAAATGTCCATCAATGATAGACTGGATTAAGAAAATGTGGCACATATAACACCATGGAATGCTATGCAGCCATAAAAAAAAATAAAAATAAAAATAAAAAAGGATGATTTCATGTCCTTTGCAGGGACATGGATGAAGTTGGAAACCATCAATCTCAGCAAACTATCACAAGATCAGAAAACCAAATGCTGGATGTTCTCAGTCATAAGTGAGAGGTGAACAATGAGAACACATGGACACAGGGAGGGGAACATCACACACTGGGGCCTGTCGGGGGTCAGGGGTTAGGGGAGGGATTGCATTAGGAGAAATACCTAATATAGGTGATGGGTTGATGGGTGAGCAAACCACCATGGCACATGCATACCTATGTAACAAAATTGCACATTCTTCACATGTAACCCACAACTTAAAGTATAATTTAAAAATATATATATTTTATCTGCATATTGTATATCAAAAAGAGATTTAATAATATCTTCCTTTAGCAGACTTTTTTTTTAAGAAATTAACAGAAACCTCAACATGTGTCCAGTGAAAATGTCCATAATCTAAAATTTCAGGGTCAAGAAGTGCCAAATAAGGACATGAACAATTTCAAATTCATTGGTCATAAATACAAGTTTGAAGAAAGATGTAAGTCATTTTATGGTGAAAAGCATATGAACTGTTGGTCAAACTCTTCTTATGCTATAAAACATTTAGCAGTGGTATGATTTAATTGTATTAGCCAAATTGATTTATTAAACTTTACCATAAAAGTATTCAGTATATATAACTTCTCAAATTGTATTTTTCAAAAAGAAATGAAATATTTCACATTTAATTTGAAATACATAGACAAAATTAAAGTTATTTGTGTATATGTATGTATATATATGCATATTTTACCTGAAAATTGTTCATCACATTCACAAATGAAACTATTTGAAGTAATATTGCTGCAGTTTCCATGGAAACAGACATGTGGTTGACACTGGCCAATTATTTCTGAGCAATTCTTTCCTATAACAATGAAAAAAAGTTTTTTTACATTGCATATCAATATCATAACCATCAGTTTTCCCTCGATTCTTTAATAATGAAAATATCAAATTCTGACAAATGCAATTTCAGTTATGAAACCATGTTACGATGATGCATTTAAATTGAAATAAAAATTAATTTTGGCACTTTACATAAGTTTTTTATCTTCTGACCCCAGACTATAATATCCAAATATTTTTTTCTGGCTAGTGGTATTTGAGCTTTATTTTATGTATGTAATATTTTAAAATTTTAATTGTGTTTTCATGGTAGATAATATTAATACATAAAAGTACCAGTTTTTCAACATACACTGTTAGTATTGCAATGATAATTTACAAAGTAACACATTCAAATGTGTATTGTGTCTCAGCCTTACCCCCTAGCCAAGGGAACAATTCAAAAGGAGAAATGGCTGCCTGGATTCTCAGAATATGTGCACAAACTTGCAAATTCAACACTTCTTTGCACTTGCTGCCATAGCAAATTTTCAAAATCTCACTTACACATACTATTGTGGTCCCACTACATCAGTTAACATAGCCTTCCATAACGTACTCATTCTATGCATATTTAATCATCTTATAATACTCTTAGTAGAGGAATGTGCTTTGGAAATCCCAAGCATAGCAAGTGGACAAATGTTACAAAACAACAGCATGTAATTTGGCAATATGTTTTTTTCCTCAGTTTAATTAAGCTCTTAATTTAATTTATGAGCAGTTTTTGCCATTATCATTGATATCTTTGAAATTCCTTATATACTGACATCCCTGCCTAATGCAGAACTCTTTTTTCTTCATTTGCCTCCAAGCAACCCTAAACGTAATGAAAATATAAATAATGAAAATATAAATAAAAATCATGTTTCAAAATGTTTTCCAAACATAAAAACTAAATTAACAGTATAATGCTCAATAGGCCATGCCCTAATTAAAACTTAGTGAGTTTTATGAGCTGAATTGTGCCCACCCAACCCCACCACATTCATATGTTGAAGTCCTAACCCTCAGTATCACAGAGTATCTATATTTGAAGACAATATATTTAGAGAAGTACACAATTAAGGTTAAATAAGGTCAGTAGGATGCATCCTAATCCAACGTGACTGGTCTGCTTTCAAGAGGAGAATATTTACACACAGATACATACTGAGCAATGACAATGTAAAGACACAGGAAGAGGCCGGGCGCGGTGGCTCAAGCCTGTAATCCCAGCACTTTGGGAGGCCGAGACGGGCGGATCACAAGGTCAGGAGATCGAGACCATCCTGGGTAACATGGTGAAACCCCGTCTCTACTAAAAATACAAAAAAACTAGCCGGGCGAGGTGGCGGGCGCCTGTAGTCCCAGCTACTCGGGAGGCTGAGGCAGGAGAATGGCGTAAACCCGGGAGGCGGAGCTTGCAGTGAGCTGAGATCCGACCACTGCACTCCAGCCTGGGCGACAGAGCGAGACTCCGTCTCAAAAAAAAAAAAAAAAAAAAAAAAAAAAAAGACACAGGAAGAAGATAGCAGTCTGTGGCCAAATCAAATCGATCTCAGAAGAAAACATGCCTGCCAATCTTTGACTTTTGGCATCTACTACTGTGAGAAAATAAGTTAAGCCATCCAGTCTATGGTACTTTGTTATGACAGCTCTAACAAAATAATGCAGCGAGCACTCTCAATTGTTTTCACAATTCTACATAATTCATTATCTTCTTTGATTTTAAAATTGAAGTAATTATTTATAATTAAAGTGGCAAGTGGAGTATTCTTAATGTTACAAAAATAAGTAAGCATTATTTAGATATTTTATAGTGCTCAAAGTTTAATGATTTAAAGCACCTATGGCTGAAAGAAAGAAAGAAGAAAGTAAGAAAGAAAGAGAGAGATAGAGAAAGAAAGAGAAAGAGGAAGGAAGGAAGGAAGGAAGGAAGGAAGGAAGGAAGGAAGGAAGGAAGGAAGGAAGGAAGGAAGGAAGGAAGGAAAGGAGGGAGGGAGAGTGGGAGGAAGGAAGGGAGGAAGGGAGGGAGGGAGGGAGGAAGGAAGGAAGGAAGGAAATCTTGAGTAAGAAGCAAACCATTCTATGCAGTTATAATAAAAGCACTAAAATAATATCCCATGAACTATGAATGCATACATGCAAATTAATATTCTGACACATGGTAGAAATTTTCTGACCAAATATTCTTTAAAACTCTTTGGACGGGTGAAAATGTATGCTTTAAAGACTGTCTATTAAATTGCTTTGTCATTGACTCCAAATCAGCAGTTTGAGTGTTTTCACATTTTCTCTAGTCTGCCTTAACTTTAATCACCTGATATACCCCAGTGTAAATCAGAGGTATAACTTGCACCTTCTATCACCAATGCCAGTACAGTCAAATGATAATTTGATCCACGTTATAGAGACAATATATTCAGTGGCTATCATTGGTATTAATTTCTCTAATGATCTTGGTAGTGAGCTATCAAGTTCAAAATGAGAATTTGAAAGATTGGATTAGGTGACTTTTACAGCCTACAATGGCTTAGTGAGGTCTTCCATTACATCTTTTTTTGTTGTTGTTTTATTTTATTTTATTTTTAGACGGAGTCTTGCTTCATTGCCCACGCTGGAGCGCAATGGTGCGATCTCAGCTAACTACAAACTTCACCTCCGGGTTCAAGGGATTCTTCCACCTCAGCCTCCCGAGTAGCTGGGATTACAGGCACCCGCCATTATGCCCAGCACATTTTTGTATTTTTGTAGAGACGCAGTTTCACCATGTTGGCCAGGCTGGTCTTGAACTCCTTACCTCAAGTGATCCGCCCACCACGGCCTCCCAAAATGCTGGGATTACAAGTGTGCGCCGCCTCCCCGTCGGCCCCCATTACATCTTACCACACAGCCCCTTTGGCTCCTATGGAGTCAGCGTCAGGCACATGGGGAAAGGAATCCCCCTAAAGCCTGCCTAACACAATTACAGTTAAATCTCTGCAGGTGATCTGTTCTAGACATATCTCTGCTCTAACCTTCCTTCCTCTTATGACCAAAATACATGCCAATCTGCTCTTTTCCTATACTATTATTATTAGCCGTGTCAAATACTTCTGTTTGTTAGATCATCGTGGTCTTATTTCACTTGTAACTCTCCACGCCAGTTCTGTCAAACTCTCTAAATTCTTTCACAAGTTTCCAAGGTTTAAATGTTCCCTACATATTTTCAATGTTTCTCCGCACTTTCCTTCTATGACCCCAGATTCTTCTAGTGTATTCTCAAGTAGAGAGAGTTTTATTCCCTTCAAACTTCACTTTAGCCTCAGGCAGCATCATTTACATTTTTTTTTAGATTGTCTTTCCTCTGGCTTAATTACTCACCAAACATCTTTTTACAACCTTTCCTGATTATTGCCTCTTATTGTGCTTATCACAACCGGTTATTAATTATAACATCTTATTTTCATCCTTGTCACTATCAGCTATAAATCAAGGTTTGGATGCCATGCCAACATCCATTTAAAACATTGCTCTTGGCTCACAATTATCTGTTCCTCTCCAATTCTGCCAAGCAATTTCAATGACTTCCCTTCAACCATAGTTCCTTAACTTCCTCTACTCAGATGCATACTTCATTATCAAGTTATCACCTATCTAAATACCATGATCTTGGGAATTCATTCAGTGACTAAAAGCTTTTATATTATTCTGATAATCTTATGTTTTAATGTATGAGACATTAAGAATGGATGTTGGGAAAGATATAAATATAGATATTTCACTATTAAACATGTTTCTAAGAGCCCTCTTTCAGTTAAGCAAAAAGCTTATTTTGGAGGGTCCCTGATAGGATTTGTGTATGTCCAGAATCTATATTTAGCCAAATCTAAGGAATCTATTAAAATTTTTAAAATGCAGTTTGATTTCTGTTAAGTAACCATTTATAAATTTGTTGTGTTTATTTTAATAAAATTATATATTTTAAACAATCTTACCTGTAAATGGTGGGTGACAGACACATTCATATCCTTGCTCATCCCAGTTTCCTCTTTTATTAATGCAACTGCCATCATTTTTACATGGTTTAAAAGAACATGCATCAAGTTCCTGGCAGTATTTTCCAGAAAATGGAGGCTGGCAATGGCAGCTATATGTCTTGCTCCAAGCTTCACTAAGACATTTACCATGACCAGAGCAAAATTCTGAACTCAGAGATTCCTGGCAGAACTGCTGTTTCACTGTCACATTTAGTCGAAGTCCCAGTGGACAAGGTGATGGACCACTTGCCATAACTGTGATAAAATAATGTGTTCCAACACTCAGCCACTTAGAATTAACAGTGTGCATTCCTTTTAGTCTGCAACCAAAAAGTAACTGATCTTCCGTTGTGGTATTTTGCACACAGCCAATGAAAGATGTTTCAGAAACATTCATCAAATTTATTTCTGGAAATTGAAGAGATGGTTCAGAAGAAATTACAAGGATATCTCCTAATTGAATTTGCAAAGGGCAAATCTGGGGAACAACTTGATTGCCTGAAGTATCTATTTTAGTGTTTACACCCAAAAACCAGCAATCTCTGTAGTAGTCCAAGCAGATGTTTTCTGTTAGTGTCCAATTTACCACATGTGATGAGGGTTGTGGATGCCATTCTTCCACCAATTCCCGTCTACATGTTTTTCCATTTATAAAAGAACTGTGAAAAACCATGAGGCTCAGAATGATGATTGATTTGTCAGTCATTTTCGGGCAACTGTATTTTACAGTTTATCGTAAAGAATTGCTGCAAAAATGGTGTTTTAAGTATTGCTGGAAATTTCCAAGCAAAGTTGTTGTTAGGGATTCCTGGGAAATGGAATTGGCTTTTTTTCTGTCCCCAAAGTAGCTTTGATGGCAATATGCTTTGATGGAGAAACGGAGGAATTTGAATGTTGTAAATATTCCTTTAAACAGAAAAAAACATACATTGTTAGTGACGTTTTCCCTAAATTACTTAATAGTATAGAAAATGCTAGCTCTTTCTGTAGATTTAATAAGAGCCTACATTGCAAAGATGTCACCAACAGCTAGGGACCTTCTTTGGGAAAGAAGGCCAAGAAAAACATGATCAAGATATGTTGATCTGGTCAAGCTTTATGTAGTCATCTGATTTTGAAAAGTTCTGGTTTCATGACATAATTTAGTCAGCAACTTAATGCGGTCTTTTGTATTTTCTCTTTACACCAAGCTTCAATCTAATCGAAACACAGCACAGCCAAGATTTGTTTACAGATGGTTTCAATTTTCCTGGGATCTAAGCATTCCTCTTCTGATTAGTTTTCAAAAAACACCTTTAAATCATAGAAGAGTAAAAGTCATTTAAATATATTTTTAATGTAATATTTTATATAAAAATAAGCCTTAAAATGCCTGATAGTGACAATCATGCTCCTTTTATCCAGAGGATGGGAGATTATATATATATATATATAATCTGTTATATATATAATATATATATATAATTCTGTTGTGCAAATGACTAAACCTGGAACGAGTCTTCATCAGCTTCTGTAGGAATGGTGGAAGGTGTCAGATAAAGAGGGAAAAAGAGGTCACAAAGCAGTAATGAAAATATTATAAGTAAAACGGTAGTAACTGAAAGGAGGAGTCAGTCCATCAATTCTGTTGTTCCAGAGGGCAAGAAAACATAAAGGATTTCTGAGTTTAATATATTGACCTATTTTCTTTAAAGGTAACTACCAATTATTGAAAGTTTTCTCTGTACAAATCACTCTACTACTTGATTAACAAATAAACTGCAATCCTCGCAATAAAACTCAAATTTTGAGAAGAAAAGTAAATAAGTTCAGTGAAAAAAACGTGTTCTTTGGATGTCAGTTATGTTATTCATTCATTTAATGTCTTTAGGCAACCTGAGATTTAATTATCTCTACTTTCAAATAGGTACACTGGGGAGAAGTACAGCTAATTAACAAGGTAAGATTGAAGATTGAATGACTATGTAAACATATATGAGTCACTCAATAAATAGTAACTTTTATTTTTGTTATTGTACAATTTCATCCAACAGGTAAGTGGTATATGTTGTATTAAAATTCAGGTTTGTCAGATTCAAAATGTCGGCATTTTCTACTGTACCATAAAGATCAATTAAATGTTGTTAAATTATGTTATGCCATTATATAATTTATTTGTTAATTCATATCAAATCTTTATGGTAAGTCTAATATCTTAATGGGTAGTCTAGATTAGGCAGAAATCAAATTTTAATTATAAATTACCTCTTTGCAATTTCAGTTCTACATGTTAGAAATCTATGAAATATACATTCATATGTGACATATAACACAAATATGCATATAGAAAGATAAAATACAACTTCTACATGATTAAACGTTCTACATAATCACGTTAATTTCGAATATATTAATCACCTTGTTAATTTTATAGATTTAAATTATTAATCTTGCTAAAGGTTTTAAAAAATAATTCAAACAAGTATATTTGAGCTCAATCTATGTGCAAGGCAATATGCTCAGTACCAGGATTCATCAATAATCAGTTGGAATAAGGTATCAAGGGAAGGAATTAAGAACTCAATGAAGGAGACAGATCATTAGACAAGCAACATCATCAAATTGCTATCAACAAAGTAGTCTAATGGTCTATGAGACATGTAGCAAGGACATTTAATCCAAGCTAGGAAACAAAATCTAGGCTAAAATGATGAAATTGAATCACCTGGGAAAATTGCCAAAGGAAAAATGTTCCAGGAGAGAGCATCTATCTAAAGATTTTGAGGCGAATGTGACACTGTATGCCTTTAAGGATGTAAGAGAAGTGGAGCTTTCTCATCAAAGAGGGAAAAGGAATTACAATTAAAGATAAGCACTTGATTTAGGAAGAGATTATATCAAGAAGTAGCAGCCATTCTCAGTAAAGGAGCTCATATTTTATTTGAGAGCAATGAAAAGCCTCTTGAAGATTTCATACAGGTGATTAACAATAAAATAAAATAAATCCTCACTTAACTTTGTCCATAGGTTCTTGGAAACTGCGACTTCATGCAAAACAACATATGACAAATCAATTTTGTTCTCTCTTCAATGTTATAATGAAAAGATAGAGGAGGAAAAGATGTTATTTGAGGATCAACGTGTTGTGTGTCGTTTTGCTTAAAGTCACAATTTTGAAGAACCTGTCAACTACATTGAGAACTCACTATAATTTAATAGTATTAGTCTAGTTTCAAGGTGAGGAACATATTGGTGAGTGCAATTAAAAGAATTGAGACACTTGTGGAGGAGACAACAACATTAAAGTAATTGAAAGCAGCTTAGTTACTTCCTAGATACAATGGGGGTACAGGCATTGGGTAAATACAGCCATTCCAAATGAGAGAAATTTGCCAAAACAAAGGGGCTACAGATCCCATACAAGTCTGAAATCCAGTAGGGGAGATGCCCCTTCACCCCCTGCTTGTGGCTGCGCTGGCCTCGGGCAGATCCCTTGAGCCAAGAGATCTAAATAGCAGTTATATCGCAACTCTCAAATAGTTTTAAGTATTAAAATATCAGTATCAAAGGGAAGAGGTGTGTGGAAGGAAAGGAAATAAAGAGAATAGTCTCCCGGCTATCTCCATTAACTCTGTGAAACAATAATGAAGACTGATTAGTACAGAGGCAATACAAATATAACACTGGTGGGAGTCCACAAATATTGAAATTGTAGAATTACTACATCTCCAAGGCTATTGACCTAAAGAAAGAGAAGGAAATCCAAGAAGACCAGTTGGAGCAATAAGACTGCAAGGAAGAGGGGAGAAGTCTGATTCACTTAAGCATACACTCAATTTAAGGTTTATCTGAGTGATTTTCTAGCAGAAATGTTCAGAAATCACAAGAGAGAAAGTGAAGTTTTAGAGAAAGATACAAATCACTAGGCAATACTGAAATACTTTTGTACCTGTAAATCACAAATTTACAGTAGTAGCAACCTGCACAGGTGTATTATTTTCCCAGTAGCTTAGTTGAAAAGGATACACTAAAGATTAAATAGCAAATGAGTTAAACACAGTCACAAATTTATTTCCACATGTAAATGCGAGGAAACAAACTACATTTGCATTGAAGCAAAATTAGGCCTGTGTGACATTTTTAGACTGACTGCAGATGTGAGCTCGCATTATTGTAGGGCTAATCCCATGCTTCTTAGAGCACGCTGGGTCTCTAATTATTGTGCATTTATGTTTTCAAAGAGAAAGTGGCTTGATGCATTGCATTTCCGCCTGGTAAAAATTTAAATAAATGAAAATAGCAGCAAAGGGAAAAAAAAACACTAACAGAAAAACATTTGTGAAGTCACTGTATTTCTATACATGCTGAATACAAAATGCTTTGGATTTTATTGGGAACTAGAGTAATATAAACATTATAAATTTGAAAAATGTGATGTAATTTTGACCCAAAAGGTATGATGTTATGTGTCTCAGCTTTTCATTTACAAAGACATTCTTCAAACCCTGTCAAAATGGCAAGCCAAATGGTATTCTCCTCAATTCTAAACACACATATTGATTATAATATATTTAAGAGTTAAAATGAGGAAGTAATTTTATCCCAGGTGATATTACCATTAATATCTTATAAATTCTTGAGCCAAGAAGTCCAGAAACCCAGAACTATGATGGAGACATTGACAGCATTGCACATAATTACAACCATAACATCACTTGAGAGGTTACATTACCAGAAAAATATTTCACAGGAAAATATGTGTAATTTCAGATGAATATGAACTGTATCACTTTTATAGTACCTTTGTAGTTAGGTTATTCTAACAAATAAAGCCCAACTTAAATTCAGTAGTTAAGAAAACATGAACAATATTTCTTCCTTTCACAAATAGCTGTCATCTTAAATGACATCTTTCAAAAAATAAGGAAATAGGTTTAAACAAATAAATTTTTATATAAGCCAAAAAATAATTTGAATAGAACATGCTCCTTATAATAGTTGGCATATAACAGACATTCAATTAAAGATAGCTGAGTAAATATTGGAGATGACAGATGTAATTTATTTTTATTTGCATTCAACAGACAATATTATAAACTATGGAAGCCTTTGATAAGCTTGTAGTTGATTCTATATACCTGATATTTTTCATGTTTCACTTCTTTAAGGACTATGACCTCCACAATAAGCAGCTTTTTATTTGTATGAATTATACATTGTACTTTCAAAACATATACAATGAGGAAAATTAGAAGAGATAAAATTAACAGATACAAAAGTTGTCATAATTTATGCCTGTTCTCTAGAAAGTAAATAACAAATTTTACCTACCACAGATTGGACTAAAATTATAGGAGGGGAGTGAAAATGTGTGTTTCAGAAATGCTAATATAGCTACCAGCAGTATGAATGATGAACATTTTAGCAAGGAGACTAGAAAAGGGAAAAAAATGCTAAATTTTAAAATAAAACTGAGATAGAGTAATGGAGAAGAGACAGCTGATTTATTCATTATTTTTGAAGGGAGTAGTGACTGACTTTATCGATTATGCACCTACTATGTGGGAGACACCAATCCTTCTTTAGTCCACTGTCTTGGTTATGACAATGATCCTGTGAGGTAAATAGTCACAGCCCCATTTTAAAAATGAGAAAACGTAAGTCACCATAGTGTCTGAAGAAATAAAAATAAAAAGAGTAAAAAATAAAAGAAATAAAACGAGAAAAGTGAAGCACAGAAAGACTAAGGACTTGCCCAAGCTCACACAATCAATAAGCAGTGGTGTGTAGATTGACCTGACTCTAAAACACATGTTCTCAGTCACATTTACCGTCTCATACACAAATGCGCACACCCAGTTTGGTTTCTGAGGCAAAGGACGCAGCTAATTTAGGAGAAAGAATATTCACAACATGATTGCCAATAAG